TGATCCATTGTTTAAATATTACTTATAAATTCATTCATTTTCTAAAATAAAGTCGTCTTTTTGACCGAATATTTCAACAGCGCCACTTACTCTGTGTTTGACGACTATATCCGTCATCGGTTGATTATCGCGACACACACTAGGGCGCACTTTGCAAAATGATCGACACAGTTAACTGGTTAAGGGCTTCATTACCATACACATCACGTAATTTTTAGGCGGCTTGCGTTTTAATATTGAGGTAAAAGAAAAGAACTTTAATAAAATATCTACGCAATGAACTTGCAAAGCTAGGTTAGGATTACAGCTGACATATATAAGAAGAAGATTATAACATTTACGGATATCATAAAAATGGGAGTGAGAAACGTTTATAAATGAAATCGACAATTATTTAGTTGCCAATACAAACGATGAAAAGGTGAGGACAAATTTAACTATTGAACAGGGCGCGTGTGTCCCTTTTCGAAGAATGGAACTCGCGCATTTCTCACGATCGATAATTTCCTGTTTTATTTCCTTTCCTTTTCTTTTTGGTTTTATTCTTTTGGGTGCTCCGAGGTATAATCGATCGGACGTACCTGAGCTCTCACCGTTCCTGCTCTCATCTCTTGTCTCTTCTTTAAAGATCATCTTCTCTCCACGCCCAGATCATTACGAAACAGCTTTCGAATACGATTGAAAAGAGAAGTGCCGTTGTCCCGTCTTTACCGTCATTCCATTACTTTTAGTTGATACTTTGTTTCTTATGCCGCGGAATCTATCCGAAAATTAACATCTAATTCGAAAATATCGATTGCGTAACACGTTTCTTATTAATTTTTTTACGAGTCACAATTTAAGGGCCCACCCAAAACGATAAGAGAAAAAAGTATCGTGAACTTCCTTTTTTTTTTCTCTCTTCAAATACATTCACGCGTTACGAGTGTCCATTTAATTGACACTTTGTATGATATGGGCGCATATATGCGCCCTAATCAAAACAATCCTTGTTGATTTAAGACGCATATCAATTTTTTTTTTCTATCTATCTCACCTTGATTCGAAATTTAGTTCTTTTTATCAAAATATTTGATTCATCGAATGGAATCGTTCTGTTTCCGCATTCAAAAGTTTAATCCTTTTGATTGATATTATATTTGTTTGAGTATTAATAATTCTTTCGATTTGTATCGTTTCAAAATAATACTTTAAATAAAACAAAATGAAATTCAATACAATTTTTGTTTGTCAACTGTAATTGATATAATTAATCGACAGAACTCACGCTAATAATATACAATTAATTCCTAATCAATAATTCAGTATACTCAAAGGGTTTAAAAGGAACATTGAATCAATCTATTCAGTATTTTCTCTCGTCCAAAATTATAATTTTTGATGATAAAGGTTCAAAGGGAACTTGGACATGAAAAGAAGTAGAACTTAATTTAATTAAGTTAGTTAATTTAATCAACCAAGTTCCCTTTGAACCTTTATCATCAAAAATTGAATCAATCTTTAATAAAAAAATATTCAACATTTGCC